CCCCCTGCGCACCCCCTCTGGTGTCGAGAAAATGCCACGCCTGCCACGCTCTCCGACCCTGGCACGCATAGGGGCCGCGGTGAGAGACCACCCCCTACGCACCCCCCTCTGGTGTCGAGAAAGTGCCACGCCAGTCACGCTCTCCGACCCTGGCACGCATAGACGCCGCGGTGAGAGACCACCCCCTGCGCACCCCCCTCTGGTGTCGAGAAAGTGCCACGCCTGCCACGCTCCCCGACCCTGGCACGCATAGACGCCGCGGTGAGAGACCACCCCCTGCGCACCCTCTCTGGTGTCGAGAAAGTGCCACGCCTGCCACGCTCTCCGACCCTGGCACGCATAGGGGCCGCGGTGAGAGACCACCCCCTGCGCACCCCCCTGGTGTCGAGAAAGTGCCACGCCTGCCACGCTCTCCGACCCTGGCACGCATAGACGCCGCGGTGAGAGACCACCCCCTGCGCACCCTCTCTGGTGTCGAGAAAGTGCCACGCCTGCCACGCTCTCCGACCCTGGCTCGCATAGACGCCGCGGTGAGAGACCACCCCCTGCGCACCCCCCCTGGTGCCGAGAAAGTGCGACGCCTGCCACGCTTTCCGACCCTGGCTCGCGTAGACGCCGCGGTGAGAGACCACCACTTGCGCACCCTCTCTGGTGTCAAGAAAGTGCAACGCCTGCCACGCTCTCCGACCCCGGCACGCATAGGGGCCGCGGTGAGAGACCACCCCCTACGCACCCCCCTTGCTGTCGAGATCGTGCCACGCCTGCCACGCTCTCCGACCCTGGCACGCATAGACGCAGCGGTGAGAGACCACCCCTGCGCACCCCCCCTGTTGTCGAGAAAATGCAGCGCCCGCCACGATCTCCGACCCTGGCACGCGTAAAGGCCGCGGTGAGAGACCACCCCCTTGCGCACCCCCTCCGGTGCCGAGAAAGTGCCACGCCTGTCACGCTCTCCGACCCTGGCACGCATAGACGCCGCGGTGAGAGACCACCCCCTGCGCACCCTCTCTGGTGCCGAGCAAGTGCCACGCCTGCCACGCTCTCCGGCCCTGGCACGCATAGACGCCGCGGTGAGAAACCACCCCCTGCGCACCCCCTCTGGTGTCGAGAAAGTGCCACGCCTGCCACGCTCTCCGACCCTGGTACGCATAGAGCCGCGGTGAGAGACCACCCCCTACGCACCCCCCGTGCTTTCGAGAAAGTGCCACGCCTGCCACGCTCTCCGACCCTGGCTCGCATAGACGCCGCGGTGAGAGAGCACCCCTGCGCACCCTCTCTGGTGTCGAGAAAATGCCGCGCCCGCCACGATCTCCGACCCTGGCACGCGTAAAGGCCGCGGTGAGAGACCACCCCCTTGCGCACCCCCTCTGGTGTCGAGAAAGTGCCACGCTTGTCACGCTCTCCGAGCCTGGCACGCATAGACGCCGTGGTGAGAGACCACCCCCTGCGCACCCCCCCTGGTGCCGAGAAAGTGCCACGCCTGCCACGCTTTCCGACCATGGCTCGCATAGACGACGCGGTGAGAAACCAGCCCTTGCGCACCCTCTCTGGTGTTCGAGAAACTTTAGTGCCACGCCTGAGACGTCTCCCGACCCTGGCTCGCATAGACGCCGGCTGGTGGAGACCACCCACTACGCACCCCCCCTTGCTGACGAGAAAGTGCCCACGCCTGCTGTGCTTTCCGACCTGGCTCGCAATAGACCGCCGCGGTGAGAGACTACCTTGCGCTCCCTCTCTGGATGTTCGAGGAAAGTGCCACGCCTGCCACGCTCTCGACCCTGGCACGCATTAAGGGCCGCGGTGGGAAACCCAACCCTGCCGCACCCCCTTCTGGTGTCGAGAAAGTTGCCACGCCTGCCACGCTCTCCGACCCTGGCACGCATAGACGCCGCGGTGAGAGACCACCCCCTGCGCACCCCCTCTGGTGTCGAGAAAGTGCCACGCCTGCCACGCTCTCCGACCCTGGCACGCATAGGGGCCGCGGTGAGAGACCACCCCCTACGCACCCCCCCTGCTGTCGAGAAAGTGCCACGCCTGCCACGCTCTCCGACCCTGGCTCGCATAGACGCCGCGGTGAGAGACCACCCCCTGCGCACCCTCTTTGGTGTCGAGAAAGTGCCACGCCTGCCACGCTCTCCGACCCTGGCACGCATAGACGCCGCGGTGAGAGACCACCCCCTGCGCACCCACCCTGGTGTCGAGAAAGTGCCACGCCTGCCACGCTCTCCGACCCTGGCACGCATAGACGCCGCGGTGAGAGACCACCCCTGCGCACCCTCTCTGGTGTCGAGAAAGTGCCACGCCTGCCACGCTCTCCGACCCTGGCTCGCATAGACGCCGCGGTGAGAGACCACCCCCTGCGCACCCTCTCTGGTGTCGAGAAAGTGCCACGCCTGCCACGCTCTCCGACCCTGGCACGCATAGGGGCCGCGGTGAGAGACCACCCCCTGCGCACCCTCTCTGGTGCCGAGAAAGTGCCACGCCTGCCACGCTCTCCGACCCTGGCTCGCATAGACGCCGCGGTGAGAGACCACCCCTTGCGCACCCCCTCTGGTGTCAAGAAGGTGCCACGTCTGCCACGCTCTCCGACCCTGGCACGCACAGGGACCGCGGTGAGAGACCACCCCCTACGCACACTTTCTCTGGTGTCGAGAAAGTGCCACGCCTGTCACGCTCTCCGCCCTGCGCTCGATGAGACGCCGCGGTGAGAGACCGCCCCTGCGCACCCTCTCTGGTGTCGAGGAAGCAGCCTGCCACGCTCTCCGACCCTGGCCGCATAGACGCCGCGATGAGAGACCACCCCTGCGCACCCTCTCTGGTGTCGAGAAAGTGCCACGCCTGCCACGCTCTCCGACCCTGGCTCGCATAGACGCCTGCGGTGAGAGACCACCCCTGCGCACCCTCTCTGGTGTCGAGAAAGTGCCACGCCTGCCACGCTCTCCGACCCTGGCTCGCATAGACGCCGCGGTGAGAGACCACCCCTGCGCACCCTCTCTAAGCTGTGCCGTGCTGAGCTGAGCTGAGCTGAGCTGAGCTGTGCTGAGCAGTGCTGTGAGGGGGAGGGGGAGGGAGGAGGAGGAGACGCGGGTGCGACGCGGCAGGGAAGAAAACAAGAACCCCACGAAGCATGTGGGGAACAAAAGCATGGTTTTCGAAAGCCTTCCTCGCTCAGACGGAGCCTCCCTGGAGGAGTGGGAGGGGCACGAAACTTGGTAAACAACATGGTTTTCGAATGCCCTCCTCGCTCAGGCGGGGCCTCCCTGGAGGAGTGGGAGGGGCACGACACCTGATACATAACTTCGAGTACCCTCCTCGCTCAGGCAGGGCCTCCCTGGAGGAGTGGTAGGTGTAGTGTGGTAGGTATGGTATGGTATGGTAGGTTTGGTGTGGTCTGGTAGGTATGGTGTGGTAGGTTTGGTATAGTATGGCATTAGATGGTAAGTATGGTCCAGTGTGGCAGGTGTGGTATGGTAGGCATGGTAGGTACGGGATGGTATGGTATGGCAGGTATGGTATGATAGGTGTGGTATGGTAGGTATTATATGGTATGTTGGTATGGTATTGGTGTGGTACGAATTGGTATGGTATAGTAGGGAGGCGGGAGAAGGAGAAGGAGGAGAATGAGAAGGAGAGGGTGTTCTAGGAAAAGAAAACCTCACTCAGGATGTGGGGAAAAAGTTCCAGCATCATGAAAAATCACGACTGGATCTCTGGACCCAATCTTTCTGCATCATTTTTCAAGCTTGATCGATATGTGAGGGTCTTGGGGCCCGAAATTGAGCGAAAAAGCCCGCTGTGGAAACACTGCACCGCCAGGATCTCAGGATCTACCCTGCCCCTTCCTTTCCTACCCTTCCGCCCCCCCCGACGACCGTTCCCCCCTGCGAGGCGTCCCCCACCGACGCCGCGGGCGCGGCGGAGTCCGCGGGCGCAGAGCCGGCCGAGGACGGGGACGAGCCGCTGCCGGTGCCGAGGGCCGAGGCAGAGGCGCAGAGGCCCCGCGGGGGTGCAGAGCCGGGCGCACGGCGCCGCCAAGACCTCGGGGGGTGCTGATGGTGTCTCTGGCCCAAGGTGCCCCCAGTTCCTCCTCCTCCTCCTCCTCCTCCTCCTCCTCCTACTCCTCCTCCTCCTCCTACTCCTCCTCCTCCTCCTCCTCCTCCTCCTCATCCTACTCATCCTCATTATCCTCCTCCTGCTCCTCCTCCTCCTCCTCCTCCTGCTCCTCCTCCTTCTTCTCCGCCCCCTCCCCCATCCCCCAGATGGGCTCGGAAAGTGGGCCAGATGGGCTTCGACAGACCGTTGCTGTGAGTACGTCTGCAGGGCAAGTTCAGTGCTGCGACGAGAGTGATGACGCCAGGTTTGATCAGGACGAGTTTTTCGGCATCAGAGGTGGTGGGATTGGAGGAGTGTCTTTTATGGCGTCTCCGTGTGCTACGATCCCACGGCCAGCCGACCCCAGTTTGGTGTGTGACGGGGGTGAGCGAGGGCAGATATTAGATCTCAGGCTGAAGGGCGTCATCACCACCGTCAACGTAGAAGGGCCTGGGCCATTCAAGCTGTTTATGAAGACGTGCAGGTCCAAGATCGTGGCTGTCCAGGAGCATCGGACCCCGATCAGGAATTGACCCTCCCTTCAGGCTCACATCCGCGACCTTAGCTACCATGGATTTATATGTGGGGCGGTCGAGCCAGAGCGCTACAGCAGATCAGGAGGGGTTGCGATTCTTGCACCTTTTGTTCATATCGTTGTCAAGGCCCCGCCCGAGTTTCCTGATCATGTGATTGAGCCTGGTCGCATTGCAGCCGCTGACGTCTCCTGGATGGTGCCAAGAGGTGTGGTGACTGTGGCTGCATATATAATTTCTGGTGAGGGTTGAGTGCTGCGAATGAAGCTCTCTTGGTCAAGATCGTCCGTTACGTGGCCATCCTCAATGCTATGGGTCGAGACTGGATCATCTTGGGAGACTGGGACATTATTCCAGAGCAGCTACCTGATGGTTTGACTGCTGGGGTGAATGGGTTCGTTGCAGCGCCCTCCAGGCCCTCTTGTCTTCTTGAGCAGCCTGGTAGCAGTTTGCTTGACTACGCTCTCGCGTGTGCCAAAAAAGCGACGAGAGTGAAGAGGCTTCGGTGGTGGACAACAGCAACGTGAAGGTGCATTTGCCAGTGGAGCTACCTGTTGAGAATGGAGATCGCCCCGCATGGGTGCGCCAAGTTGTTGAACCAGTTCCGTTTCCCAAAATAACATTTGTGGGATATGAAAATGTTCCGTTTGATTGGGGGCATGCTGACCGACCGCTTTTTAATGCACAGACCGTTTTGGATTTGAGTATGATTTGGGATTCGATTTCAGGTGTTGAATTTGAGTTGCAGGGCGTTCCTGATTGCGCTGATGGAGTAAAGGCTTCGTCGACGTCTAGGCGTGGTGGCCCCCTTGTACCAAAGTATTGCAGTCCAAATCGCGACCTCCACTACAACAGTTGCAACATGGACCTGCATTGCGAGCGTGGATGGCAGCTCCGTTACAGCGGTCCAGAACGCGAATGCCCTCGCGGAAAACACTCCTATCGGGCTGCAGACCATGGTCAACAGGCTGAGGAAAGGTAACTCTGGGGATGAAACTACTACTGAAGAAGGGGGTCGGGATTCCCCGGCAGCAGGTGATAAGTCAGGCTCAGGAACTGCTGGTAAAACCATCGTAGAATCCAGTGGGCTGTCCACTGCAGGAGGGTCACGGAGCATCTTTCCCTCTTTCCTCGCTCCCCCCTCGTTCTGCTCCTCCGTTTCGCGCGCCCGCCCCCCGTGCCCCCCACCCCCACCGCGGCCCCCCGCTGCTGCCCCGCCCTCGCCCCCCCCCCACCGGTTCCCCCTTTCTCCTGCCACCGATCGGGGACAAGAGGAGGGGGAGGGCGGGGGGCGGCGGCGAGGGGGGCGGCGAGGGGAGAGGGAGGGAGGGGGCGGGCGGGTTAGACGAAGGAGGGCGAAGCAAGAGGAGGGCGGCGGAAGCACTGGCGAGGACCTTCGGGGGAGGGGGCGAACGCTTGGTTGTCGAGACCTCCGTGGGCCACCCTTAAGATAGATCCAGACATTTTTGGGTTTGCGGGTCGAGAGCGGGCCTCTTCCGGTTAAGAGCTAAGCAGGAAAATACATCCAGACATACGGAACATCAAAAAAAACACCCGAATCGTCGTAGCGTTGGTCCGCCACGAAGCTTGGGCGCTGTAGCGCGATTGCCGTGCGCTCTCTGGAAGGCTCTCGCTCATGACCCCCGCCGCAGCGATCCCCGCGAGATCAGGGGAGGAAAAACCACCCGGACCGGACAATTCACGTATACTGAACGGCCTTGGGCGTTTACGAAACAGCCCTGCCCTGTTCGATCCCTTCTTTGGGCGCGTGTTTACTAAATCGGAGGTGGACAGAACCCCCAACAGTGACACGTCGATTAGTGAATTGTCCGTTTTCGGTTCTCGAGCGGGCGCAGTGGCCGTTATTTTCCAAGCTTGCGCCCGCCAGGTTTGGGCCTCAGGTCGTTTTCACTAAACCACGTTTTACTAAAGGGGGGTCTGTCCAACCCCGACTAAACGACTTCGCATGCTGGGGTGGTTATTGAATCGCTTCGCTCATTCCGCCGGCCCGTGATATGGCATCGCTGGTTTTTGTCTGTGTGTTCGTTGCCCATGTTGCGCTCTTGGGGGCGGGTGTCGTTCGGACGCGTTGCGTGGGGAGTTTTGATGGTGAAGCAGTTCCCTGGGGGTCGTCTCTCGATGGGGCGAAATAGAGTCGTCGTCAAGATGCTTCTTTGGGGGGCCTCTTGGGGTCTGTTGAGAGGCCGTTCGGGGGCGCCTGGGAGACATGTTTGAAGCCTTCTGGGGCTTCTTTTGGGCCTCCTGGGAGTCTCCTGGGGCCTCTTGGCGACATCTTGGGGCCTCTTGGAGGCCTCTTGGGGCCTCTTTGGGACCTCCTGGGCGCCTTCTGGGACGGAGGGCTCCATTTTTGAGTTCTCGGTATCCCTCCTGAGTCCCTCTTGGGCCCGTCTTGGGGCCTCTTGGTCCGTCTTGGGCGGCACTTGGGCCGTCTTGAGGGCTCTCTTGGGTCGTTTCGGCGCCGTCTTGGGAGCTTCGTGGGCCGTCTTGGAGCGGTCTTGGGGGCCTCTTGGGCCGTCTTGGAGCGTCCGGAAGCCGAAAAAGCCAGAACACAAAAAACATCGAAAAAACTAATGAAAATCAACGATTTGGGCCTTTGGGGACTCTCTTCGGAGGCCTCTTGGAAGGCTCTTGGGGTGGTTATTCTGGGGTTGGATTGCGAAGGCCTTGCGGCCGGTGCCGCCGACCCTGAAGACGACGAAGATGACAACGAGGGTGAGGAGGAGCAGGAGGAGGAGGAGGAGGTAGAGGGGGAGCAAGAGGAGGGGAGCAAGGGGGGGGGGGGGAGGAGGAGGAGGAGGAGGAGGAGGAGGAGGGAGGAGGAGGAGGAGGAGGAGGAGGAGGAGGAGTGAGAGGAGGAGGGTGGTTATTCTGGGGGCGGATTTTTTGGCCTCTGCGAAAGGCGGGCAGACGCCGCGGCCGCCCGCGCCGCCGAGGCGGCCGCGCGGGCGGCGCGCGCCGCCGAGGCCGCCGCTCGCGCGTCGGCACGCATGAGCGCCCCGCAGCCGAGGCCGCCGCAGGCCGCAGACCGGCCGCGCAGCCGCAGCCGCGGCCGGGGCGCGCTGCCCGGCCCCCACGAGCGGCGAACACCAGAGGGAGAAGAGGTGCCCATACCACTACCCTTCGCCCGTTTTCCCCTGTCTGGGCCTCCTGGGAGGCCCTCGCCGCCACCGCTGGATTCGCTTCGAAATCCTGGTCAGAACGCGCCCCGGGAGAGGTCCGGGGAGTAGCGGTATCGGTACCTTTTGGTTTCTCCAATTTCGACGACACGTAAGAGTGACGTTTCGCTGGAGTGACCTCTGGCGCGGGCCCAGCGGGGCCCCCCGATCGCCGAGCGTGGAGCGGCAGCAGCGGCTTGCGCACCCGGGTCTGGCACCCCCCGCCCCGTACCCGCGGGGTCGCGGCTCAGGGGCCTGGCCCGCGAGGCCGCGGATGCGGATCTGCTTCTCGCCCACGAGGCCCCCCGCCCGGCCCGCCGCCGCCGACGCACCCGGGCGCCGGGCTCTGCTTCAGCTACGGCGCATGCGGCTGTCTGGGGCCCGCAAACGCAGAGTGTTTGGCGCCCTTGCTGTGTTTTCTGGAAGCTTGTCGTCGCCACGGCGGCCGCATCCGCTTCGGAAAAGGGGCCAGGATGGACCCCTTGGAGAACCCGAGAACCGATTTTGAGCGGACTTTGGGGGGGGGGGGGAGCCCAAACGATGCGTTCACCACACCGCATGGCGAGTCGGTGGGCATTCGGGGCCACCGCGCCGCTTGGGGACTCGGGCGCTCGTTCTCCGAGGACGCCTCGGGCGACGGGGGCCCTCAAGGTGCCCAAACCGTGCGGTGACGGAACCGTGCGGCGCGACGTCGATGGGGGTTCCGACTTTGACATCGGTCTTGACTTTTGTCCCATATGGGGATCCCTGGAACCCCGACCCCTTCCCCAGGGCCGGCTTGTCATCCCGAGGTGTTTTTAGCAGTGCTAGGGCCCAGCGAGGGCCTCCAGGGGCCGAAAATCGCCAATCGTCCGTCGCATGTCTTGTGCACGGCGCGAGCATGTCTGCGTTCGGAGGCAATTCGTGGGAGCCTCGTATGCCCTCGGACTTGTAGACGCTTCGCGTAACCCCATCAGCCTTCATCCTTTGGCAGTGTTCCAGCCCTCCCGCAGGGTGGTCCGTGGTGCTCGGCCATGCCTGCTGCTGCTGCATCCCCCCCGACCTTCTGGGTCAGGCAGTCGCAGGTTGCGGACTCCGTGACTGGGTCGACGTCTCCGTGCATAGGTCGGTCGCTTGTGCCCGACCACGCCCAGGAGTCCAAGTGAGAAAGGCGTTCCTCGGCTCCCCCTCTTCTGCCCGCGCGTGCTCTCGCACCCGCCGCCTTTCCTTGCTCTCTCGCCTCCTCGTCGTGTTTGACGGTGCGGCCTCACGGGCCCCCCGTGCTGCCACAGCGCAGCGTGACTCACGCCAGTAGACTTCTCCTCCGTCTGTTTCAGTCTGATGCCTGCGTCCCCGCTCCTGGGTCGCCCGCATCTTAATGGGGGGCATTATGTCTCTTGCACGTGCACTTGTTGCGTCGGCCTATGCGCCGTCGTAGCCAATTATCCCGCCCTGTGCCCCAGCCGAGCCCGTCCCGCTTCCTGGATCTGTCCTTGGAGCCGTCAATCAAGAAGTAACCCCATCAGCCCATCCAGACGGGATGCCCAGACGAGCTGCCCTGATCAGGGATGTGGAGGAGCATGCAGTGGAATGAAAGGCTCGGTAGGACGTCCTACCCCAAGAGGGGTGCGGATGGAGGAGGAATCGGAGGAGTTGGAGGAGGAGGAGGAGGAGGAGGAGGAGAGGAGAGGAGAGGAGAGGAGAGGAGAGGAGAGGAGGAGGAAGAGGAGAACAAGGAGGAGGAGGAGGGCGAACAGAAAGGCCAGAAGCATCGTGGAATGTCTTGGGGGTCTCCGCGCAGTCGCGGGGGGCCTCTTGGGGCGTCTTGGGTGCCTCTGGAGGGCCTCTGGGGACCTCTTGGGGTCTCTTGGGGGCCTCTTGGCGCCTCTTGGGGCCTCCTGGGCACCTTTCGGGGCCGTCTTGGCGCACCGTTAAGAGCCTCGGGGGCCATTTCGGAGCCATCTTGGAGGAGATCGATCAAAGGAGGGACCGTAGTACAGTAGGGTCCACCCCAGGAGGCCTAAATGTTGCCAAAACCGTAGTGGAATCAATGATGTTGATTTTCTCGCCTTCTTGGGGGCCTCTTTCTTGGGGACTCCTGGGCTTCTATTGAGGTTGTCTTGGGGCACCCTTGGGAGCCTCGGGTGCCATCTTGGGCACCTTTTGGAGGAGACCGAACAAAGGAGGGGGGCTCTTTAATTGAGTCCCCCACCCAGGAGGTCAAAATGTTGCCAAAACCGATATGGAATCAATGAGTTTGACCTTCTCGCCGAGACTTCTTGGGGCGTGTTGGAAGCCTCTGGAGCGCCTCTTGGGGGCCGCTCGGGGGCATCTTGGTGGCCTCGGGGCGGCCTCACCTTTTGAAACTGTCTTGGGGCACCCTTGGGAGCCTCGGGGGCCACCTTGGGGCCATGTGGGAGGAGATCGGTCAAAGGAGGGGAGCGTTTGGGTCCCCCCTCAAGGATGCCAAGATGTTGCCAAAACTTTTTCGTGTAATCAATGGCTTCGCCTTCTCGCCGAAGCCACCTGGGGCTGCTTGGAAGCCTCTGGGGCGCCTGTTGGGGCCTGTTGGGGGCATTTTGGTGGCCTCTCGGGGGCCTCTTGGGAGTCTCTTGGGGCCTCCTGGGCACCTCTTAGGGCTGTATTGGGGCTCCCTTGGGAGCCTCGGGGACCATCTTGGGGAGGAGATCGGTTAAAGGAGGGGAGCTTTCCAATTAGGTTCTTCCCCCAGGAGGTTAGAATGTGGCCAAAACGTTTTTGGTAAATTCAATGATTTGGGCTCCCTCGCCGAGGCCAAAAAAGACCCCCTGACACATCGCAACATCCCTCCGTCCAGACCCAGGGG